CCATCAGCTGGGCTTCACAGTGAAAGATACTCGCTGAATAATCCGAGGGAAACTCAGAGAGAGAGAGAGAGAGAGAGGGAGCGGTGAGTGACTCGTAGCTAGCGCTGAGCAAAGAGCAGCGTATAAAACATTCATGTGGGGTTAGCTCTTGATTGTTTTTCCCTGCTCTGGTCATCACTTTCACTGGACAAAATAAGCCACATTGCTCACAGCACAACGCTGCTGTCGCTGCTTGTTGTTCTCACTTGTCGGTTATCTGATAAAAGAACTGTGCAGTCGGGGTTTGCACTCCAGCTATAATTTTTCTCATTCATCTTTTAAACCTTTAAACTTAGTTAAACAACTTCAAAAAAGGAGCTGTTGTAGAGGAGACTCCGACTCTCATGGCGATTACCAAAGATTGAGTAGAGTAAAAGTAAAAAAAAAGTTTGTTTTTCTTTTCTTTAAAGTAAAACTCAGAGTCCTAAGAGTTGCTTTGGAAATGTCAGCAAAAACACTTCACGTGCATAAGTACTGCCCTGGTGGCTATACGTGAATGTTTAATGACCTGGAAGTTACAAGATCAGCAAGTGCTGAGAACTGGTTTCCGTATCGCTATAATGTGTCGGTAGAGGTTTCCGAAACTTTTTCTGCAGTTCCACTTTTTTAGGTAAAACTATTGTAAAATAAGCTGTAGATACTTTTAGTCATGAACATGTTTAGATTTGTCTTAAATAACTTCCCTCAACTCATGACATTTGAATCAACAGTGGTTTTCAAAGTGGAGATCGGAGGGAATTGTAGGGGAGATTTTTATTTATTTGTTTATATAAACATTTGTCCTGAACTGTACAGCATGTAAAGTGCCGTAATCGTGAGATTCTCAAGTTTCCAATGGTACTTGAATGCACCTTGTGCCTTCAACCTCGTACCTTGTAACCTGTGTCGACCTTAAAACACCTTTGTTAATCATTGTCTTATGCTCAAAACGTGATAATTATTGAATAGTGAATACAAGTAAATACATTCTAAAAGTTTATGTTTCTTTACATATTTCGTTACATTGTCTGTGGGTTTTTGACAGAGGTTCCCAGCCAAAAGCTAATGCTTATCAGGGGCCTTGGCTCAAAAAAGTTTGGGAACCCCCCAGTCCACAACACTAACTTCCAGAGTTACTTTAGCTTCACCTTGCAGCTCATTATTTGGTTTCGCTTGTACGATCACAGCATGTTGACTCTGTGTCTCTTCAGAGTTCATTCCAAAGGTCGAAAGTTACCGTGAAAGGAGTGCTAATGTTTTTTTGGCCGTTCACCCTGGCGTCTGGCAGAGAGCTAACCCTTCTCTGGATACCTATTAGATCAAGAATCGATTGCAACATCATGTTCAACACCTACGAGGCATAAAGTATATTAGACAGCACATCGTCTGGTCTGTGGAGCCGAGCTGCTGCTGTTACATCAGTCCACCTCCATAAAGGGAGTGGGTAATAAAGAGTGTGTTTTCAGGACAACTTCAGGCCATCAGGAAGAGCCTGCAGGGTAACGCACCATTCCACACAGATTGCCATGTCGAGTGCAGCTTTAGTATTCTTTCAGTTAATTACGATGCTGCAGCATTGAGAGCCCAGCCAACCCACTTCGGGGAAGGCGTTGGTGAGAGTGTGAGAAGGAATGAGACGGAGCAGAAATACCTGTGACCTTTAAAGTGTTAGTTGCCCATTACATGCTGAATAATCCAGCCGCGACGTGAAGCAACGGAGACGTGGTACAAAGTGCTGTGGTTCCAGGTCACAAGTGAATTGTAATTGAATGAATAATGTCCAATTGCCTGCAGGTAGGCAAACAGTCCTGACATTAAGGACGGTGTTGTAGCATTAAGTCGACTCGCGGCCTCCGCGTTTGCTTTTTTCGATGGAAATTCAGTGGAAAAACACGACATTTTAAAATTTACACTTCAAACCAACCATAGTCGCAAAAAACAGAAAATCACATCACTGAGAGAACCTTTAAACAGGCTGATCACCAGTCTGGTAAAAAGAGAATTGACTACAAAATATCAGCTTGACATTTAGATAACGTCGCAACGGCAATTTATGTGTGTGTGTGTGTGTGTGTGTTCCTGGTATTGTTATATTTGACATAATGAGGTTGAATCACGGTTTAGTTTGGATTAGAATAAGGATCTGATTGGGATTATGCTACTGATTAATATAACACTTATCTTTGTAATAGATGTGGTAAGAGGCTAGGCTCACAAAACACAAAAAACACTGTGTGTTCTCCTTGCTATTGCATTCATAATGCTGCCTAATTTCTATCTTTACACCAAAAGCGACCAGCTAAGATTTGTACTTTCCCTTGAGGTTTTTTTTTGATGATAATAAATTATGTATGATATATGATATGATGTATGATAATGTACAGAAGAACACAGAACAGTCATTTCAGGAACAAATTTAAATTGTTCTACTTTAATTACTTTTGAGCCTATTGTGCTCGACTGTGGAACCTGGGTGCATTACTCAAGTCCTTGAGTAAAAAAAGAAAAAAAAAGTTTGGAAAAATGAACCTTTTCAAAGACTCAATGCAGCTGCTGGATTTTGCTGTTGCCAAAGGGTGATTCAGGGCAGCTGAACATCAGGTCTGAACCTAAAGCACAACTCTTGAGTAACTTTGGAATGGAGTTCACCTTCCTGAACTTTTTTTTTTTTTTTTTATTCTTTTTTTTTCATTCACATATTAATGACACAAACAGAGAGGTCACAAATGACTAACTGCTTGAAATAAATATAGAAATGAAAAGTGAACATGTAGAAATGGCATGAAAGGAGGTTGGAAAACATTATACAGTATGATAATGTACAGAAGAACACAGAACAGTCATTTCAGGAACAATATAACTAGACATTCCCAAACAATGTGTGTAATTGCTCCTTTTTGCCAGCAGAGGGCCTGCACGTCTACACAACAGGACGAAAGGGAGCAATTACAATTGCTGTGCCATTGCGCATCAACCATTGGTTGTAAAAATATGAAATGTATGGACGTCATTGATGACCCAAGTGTGTCTGTGTCTCTATCACGTCCGCTATTGTTTCACATTAGTCAGCAGTCTGAAAAGAGCGAGTGGACTCATCAACAACCAATCGTTGAGGTGCAATGGCACATCAAATGCAAATAGTCCCTAGCGTATTGCACTCATCAACAACCAATCGTTGAGGTGCAATGGCACATTAAATGCAAATAGTCCCTATCATAAGTAGCCGGTCTGACGTGCAGACAAATATTTGAACTTGTTGGCGGAGCTAATATGAAATGTATGTAACGGACGCCATTGGCGACTTAACTGTCGAGTCTCTATCACGTCCACTATTGTGTCATATTATTAAGTCTTCTAGTATCCGAAAAGAGCAATGCACTCAACAACCAATCGTTGAGGTGCAATGGCACATTAAATGCAAATAGTCCCTATCGTATTGCACTCATCAACAACCAATCGTTGAGGTGCAATGGCACATTAAATGCAAATAGTCCCTATCGTGTTGCACTTATCAACAACCAATCGTTGAGGTGCAATGGCACATCAAATGCAAATAGGCCCTATCGTAAGTAGCCGGTCTGACGTGCAGATAAACGTTTGAACTTGCTGTTGGCGGAGCTAATATGAAATGTATGTAACGGACGTCATTGGCGACGTAACTGTCGAGTCTCTATGACGTCCGCTATTGTTTTATATTAGTCAGCAGTCTAAAAAGAACAAGTGCAGTCTTCAACAACCAATCGTTAAGGCGCAATGGCACATTAAATGCAAATAGTCCCTATCGTGTTGCACTTATCAACAACCAATCGTTGAGGTGCAATGGCACATCAAATGCAAATAGGCCCTATCGTAAGTAGCCGGTCTGACGTTCAAACAAACGTTTGAACTTGTTGTTGGCGGAGCTAATATGAAATGTATGTAACGGATGTCATTGGCGACTTAACTGTCGAGTGTCTATCACGACCGCCATTGTGTCATATTATTCAGTGTTCTAGTATCTGAAAAGAGCAATTGCACTCATCAACAACCAATCGTTGAGGTGCAATGGCACATTAAATGCAAATACGCCCTATCGTATTGCACTCATCAACAACCAATCGTTGAGGTGCAATGGCACATTAAATGCAAATAGTCCTTATCGTCAGTTGCCGGTCTGATGTGCAGATAAACGGTTGGCCGGAACCTGTTGTTGGCGGAGCTAAAACCGAACAACCGACCGCATTTCTTAATAAAACTTTTGCTATTGTTTACTACAGCTAAAGCTAAGTTTGCTAACTCACAGCGTTTATATATGTCATGGCGATAGCCACTTGTAGAGTGCAGTTTGTTAGGCTATTTTTGTGGGGTAAACGGCGAAATTCTGCCGAAGATAAAATTAAAAGATAAAAACAGCTTATTCGGTGAAAAAAGAGGAAATATACTGGGCCTTGAATACATCGATAATAATCCCTTTGTGTGTTTTACAGTTGCACCTAGACTACTGTAGTTGTAGGTTTCCTTCTCTCATTTATAATATATGATGCAAGGGGATTTTTTCAGTTTGTAAATCAAACATTTTAGGTTTAGCAAGTCTCTCTCAGGTGATTAATCTTGTAGGGCAAGTCAGACTGAAATACAATATTTTATAACCATAGAAATTACAACATATGACTAAAAGCAACAAACTACACCTGCCTTAGAGACCTATAGAAGAATATATATGACTGTGCTACAGCAGTGACAGGTTCCAGCCATCACACTGTTTGATAGGTGGTACGGTTGTTTTGCTCCGCTATATTTTTTTTTTTCCCCATTTGCAGTGGATGGTAAAAAAGCTTTTGCTGTGCAGTTTGGAAATTCACAGTGTATGTAGCTGCCATTAAGGAGGGAACCTACCAATATAGTCCTGTCAAAAGCAATTCTTTTTTTCTGCTGACATACAGCAACATAAAACCTCTTGCCAGTATTTTTCTCTCCCTCTCATATGAGAGTTTTAGCTCAGTTAGAGTGATGAATACCATGGGGGTTTTCATACATCTGCTCATCTGTGGGAAGAAAAACATGCAGCTGTGGTCCAAAAGTTATCTCCCCTGTCCAGAAAAGTTGAGGAAAGGATGACAGTTCTCATCACTCGTTATGTGGCAGCGATCCTTTTGACTGATGATCCACTATTATTATTCTACAGAGCCATCTGCTGCGACTTATCACTGATGGCACAACATTTGTTTCCTCTTGATCTGACTGGTCTTTCTCTGGTCACAGAGCATTTATTTTTCCTGCATCCTTTCTTTGGATTAAACTACATCCTTATATCTTCATATCTTTATTTCTCATTTATGTTGGCCTAGTTGCCACCAATGCACTAGAGAGGAAGATGCAGTTCACTCAGTTTTTACCTCTGTAGCTAAATGTTGCTGGTTGTGTACTTCTCACAATGTAATATCCAATTTGTTGTGGTGTCCCAGTATGCAGTGGGTTAAGTTTGTCCACTATATCCCACAGTGCACCATGAAATCAAGCAATATGTCCCACCATGCATTGCAGTTGTGACGACACTGGAGTTAGAATTAGAACTACGGTCATGAAGGTCCAGGATTGAAATTAGAGTGCTTTTGTGATGTTTAAGGCAGTGTTGTTTAACCTAGGGGTCACGACCCCACATGGGGTCATCTGGAATTCCAATAGAGTTCAAAGGGTTATTATGGGAGAGCTCAGTAAATGTAACAAACAGCCTGATTATTTTCGTACTTTCATGCATTCGTACTGCATTACATACAGGTCATTTGCTACACTTCATGCATAGTTAAGATGTGTGTTTGTTCAGGTGTTGTCTGACTGTGACTAGGGTACTCACCCTGTGTCATTGCAATTTCCTTCAACATAAGAGACGTGGTCCTGGGTTTTAGGCATGTAACTGAGACTGAGTAAATTACCCACTGTATAACATGGCGCCTGGATACAAAACATTTCTTGCAGGCAGTCATCCTGCCAAGCTCTAGCTGAAAATGTCAAGTTGTTATGTAGCTGTCATCTTAGAGTAAGTAATGAGGAAGATGATATGGCTCAGACCTCGGTGCCCAAACAGGTGAAATAGTCACATGTGAGGGGTCGGCATCGTGATGTCTGCTTTCACTGTCATTTTATATGCTCGTAAAAGTCAGACAGTTCGCCGCCAATTACTGCTGCCGATAGACGGAGCATTGTTGGATGTGCTGGTAGAGATTCCTGCTCCTCCTCCAGCATTTAGGAATTGTTGAGCTCCACATTACTGAATCTAAAAAAACCTAGATTTCCTGATTTGGATCCTTGTATTATCGTATTTTTATCAGTCAAAAAATGCTTCTCTTGTGTCATAAAACTGCACCTCTTTGCAGGATGAACGAGGCGTTCACCGAGGGCTACGAGGAAGACGTCGGTACCAGAACGACTCATCATTTCCTGTACCCTGAGAGCGCCAAGGACCTGGATGACAACACCAGTCTCGTCTTCATCCCGTTCAAGGTTTTGGATCTTCAGTGGATCATTAGTGCTCTCACCACAGGCACTGTTACAAAGTAAGTAAAGACACCCAGTCAAGAGTTTAGGCATTTTACACTAAGAACTGATGAGTCGTGTAATGAGAATTGAAATGGTTGATTTTCTTTTTTTTCTTTTTCTTTTTTTTTTGCTAAAGGAGCCATAAAGCGTATATCAGCTCAGTGTGTTGTTTGAATAAATCACAGGTTTAGCTCTACAATGAGAAAAGACATTACAGGGAAAAATAGAATCTCATTGGTTAATGTCAAACTCATTTACGTTGCAGGGCCACACACACAACCCAGTTTGATCTCAAGTTGTTGTTTCCTGTAGTCAATACTCGTAGTTTGTTTTGCCTGTGCTGCAGCCACGTATGTAACAAAGAATGCATATTCAACACAAAGGCAAAAAGTAAAATCAGTAAAAAAATAAATTAAATATCAGTAAACAAAAATATCTTTTCTTTTGTTAAAAACTACAATTATATCTTTAAATAAAATTGATTTAACCTTCTGGAAGAATCCACAGTGGTGCAATTCTTTCCTCCTCTGAACTGTTTTATTTAAAAAAAAAAACAACTTACATTTAAAGGTACTTTTTTTTCAAATCTACTTTATTATGGTTGTAATCTGTGGGTAAAACTGAACATAAAAGTGATTTTATCATCATTTAAAATACGTGGAGCTGAAACGTGTAATTTAACAACCCATTCATCAAGTGCAAAAGCTCAACCATTTAAGGCTTTAAAAAATATAAAAGTTATGAATGTGTCATAATAAATGGTGTTGCTGAACCAGGGGTGATTTCCTTTTTTTTTTTTAATCTCACTCACTTTACTTTTTGTCAGGTTGCCGTACCAGACAAACTCACTCAGTTATAATCTTTCACCTTCAACTGCTTTAACTCAATGACCCGTTAACATCAGTCTAATTGCTGGACATCCATTAAAAAAAAAAAAAAAAAAAAAAAAAAGCCTCTGCCAATTAATGTCGTTGCCAATGACTTAAACACCCCGTGTTAGATGGTCGGAGGACGGCTGAGTCCAAACAAATGTATCCGGTAAATGTGCAGTTGTCTTCCCACTCTGCCAAAGCAATCATTCTGCATCATTAAATTCACTTTACTGGTTGTGCTGTCAGCACCAGCCGAGCAGCCGTTACATCTTCACTGGCTGCTGTAAAATGTTTTGTTGCATTTCCTCACCTTATTGAAGAGGACGTCGGCGAATCTGAGGAGAGACCCATGTCTGCTGGGATGGCTGCTGTTAATAAACACCTTATAAATATTCCTTACTTCGCAGTAACACTGGAAGTTTTAGTGCCTTTCAACAATGTTGATCACACGGGGACCAGGTCTTTGAGTCCACCAGGGACCAGAGCAACATTAAATCTCAGTCTGGTTGTCCTTCCCAAAAGATATATGTATTTCAATTTCCTTCCCTGGCTTGGGGAACAAATGGTATATTAAATTTTGTGCAGATGCAACCGTGATCAGATGAGTCCACGCTTCATCTAGTTGAGAAAAAATGATGTTGGTATCTTTATAAAATATATATATATATAGAAAATATGGGAGCATCCAGACTCTTATTACAGAAAGCATCTGTGATATTACGGAGGTGCTTCAGCTGTCACAGCACCAAGGACGTGGATGTGTGAAGGTACCATTTATTTGGAGACAGGGATTTGAGTTTGGAAGAAAAAAAAATGTTCCTGAAAATCTGCTTTTCCTGGCATTGGAAATGTCCTTCAACAGTGCAAAGAAAAACATGAACGATCTGTTTCTTAATGAGATTCAGAGAACTGTTTTTGTAAACTTGCATCAAATAATCTCCTAAAAAATGTAATCTACCACCAAATTAATATTTAAATTAGTCTTTGTCCATTTGTTCAAAATGGTAAATATTGTACTTATATTGTACGAAACTACAGATTTCATCAACTTACATTCATTTTCATTTTTATCATAAATACGTTTTTTGGTGACTATGACTTGCTGACACTGATTTTTGTAGATTCCATTTTCCTTTAATTGACAACACGTAAAAAAAAGTACTAAAAGTGTTTTCAACATTTCGTGCTCAACTGGTAATTATGAAACATTTCCCACGAACATTTCTGCACTCAGTCACAGGTTACTGGAATAAATTGGTTCCTGTTCAACCAACTTTCTGATTTTCAGAATTTCATTTAAGGAACTTAAAAAAATATAATTCAATATTTTTGTTATAAGCAAACAAATTCCGACGAGAGTAGAGAATGAGAAACAGCTCTAGAAGCGCTCTTCATGTTTGGAGATCTCTGAAAAGAATCACAATGTGACTGTGACTGTGCCTCAAGGTTGTTATTGTCAAAGTGCGTTTCAGTAAATTGTACTTTTTTACAATGCGCAAGGATAATAAAAGGTCAATACATATGTATATATATATATATATATATATATATATATATATATATGTTTAATCATATTTGAAGTCGCTGGATGTTCCACACTATTCCAGACTTTCAACCACTGTGTGCGATCTTGGAATTTCAATTAGGCACATTCCTGCAGTGGGAACGGTCTTGATAAACTTACTTTAATTGGAAACATTCAACAGGATTGTATCTCACTCCGTAATCATTCTTTTTCATCTCAGTCATTAGCATGCCATCCTTTTACTTTTCTTTTTTTTAATTAAATCCCTGTAGGCTCCTGTTGGCAAAACACAACGCTGTTATATATGAACTGCATTGTCTTCGTTGGTCCCCTCTGTGGTTTGAGTTGCGTACTTCAATACAGAATTTCTACGAAGTCTATATAGTACAGTGTAAATCACATTGCCGACTTCTGGGTAATAACTAAAATACAACCCATATCAGTGTCAGTTTTTGCTAACTCATACAACAACTGTTTTTACCTGGCAAAAGAAAGGCTGCCATCATTTGGCAGTGTAATCTTATGCATTATTCAAATAATATTAACATGATTAAATGTGAGAAATGGTGATGTGTTGTCTACCCACATCTTTTCCTTGTGTCTTGCAGAACATTTTTTCCCGTCAAGTCCAAAATAAAGGCCAACAAAGATAAGGTTGGTTGATTTTACTCTTTTTATTTTGTTGTTGTTGTTGTTTGTTTATTTTATTTTTTTTTACATTTTGCAATAAATACATGCATGTAACATTTTTTCACATGCTTCCTCACGAGTGCTGCGCCACAGTTTGATTGGCACTCGGCGCCTCTGAACAGCATGTCGCTCGTGGTGACTGACAGACTCGTGGCAGCACACGACGGCTCTTTTTGTTGCATTATGCTGATTACAGCTGCCCGGCATAATGCTGCTTTGTGCACATGTCACATGTCACTCCACTGGAGTGTACTTCCATATAAGGAGCTGAGATGTAGTATAATATCCCTGACCCAGTTTGACCTCAGCTACGATGGCCTCGCGTGTCACCGAGTTAAAACATCGAGGATTTGTTGATCCGTAATATCATAAAAAAAAAGAGACTTCCTGAGGAATAGAGGAGGATTTTTCACCAGTGAGAAGCAGTTCTTCAGAGTTGTCATAGCTGTAGGGTGCACGGAGGTATTTGATCTGAAGGATTTTGACCTGCATTAAGGATGAGATGCTGAGCCGGAGGTGGCAAAGTGGAAGATGCTGAGTGAAGGACGACGGCCCCGGAGAAGACCCTTGTCTTCTCTGTAGTGGAGGAGGACATGAAGTAACAGTGAAGGAACACTTGGTTCAGGGGCCAAATCCTGCCCATGAAAAAACATCATTAACTATTTTATTTTTAACCTTTTTTCCAATTTTTTACAGTAATTTCTATTTTGTAAAATGCTTTTTTTGGATCATTTAAGAATGAGAAAAATATATATATTTGTACCAGCTGTTTTTTTTTTTTTTTTTTTACATCTAATACTGATTTCCCCTCTGTGGCCCAGAGACCCAAGATTTAGCTGATTAAAACAGCCTATCAGACATCACCACAGTCTTAACCTCTGAAGCGTTCCATATTTCATCTTAATAGAGTTTTAATTTGCTCATTCATTTATGTAGTCGTCAATAGGTGTACGCTTTGGAAAAGCAGCAAAGACTGAATATGTGCTTCTTTCGCAGGTGTTAATTTACAGCCCCACATTTTTAAAATATGTCCATGACTCGTGGATGGAGGGTCACGGTCAGTATCCTTCAACTGGCTTTCTGAGTTTACTCTTCGCTATTCACATCTGTGATAAGGTAAGTAAGCACATAAAATGTATTTTACTCACAAAACAAAAAATTCATGGCGACCCCCACATAAGGTCACAAACCAAAGGTTAAGAAACACTGATCGCTGATTAGTACAATTAATAGGTGTCATGTTAGCAGCAATAAAGCAACACAGTAGCACATGGTGTCTCAGCATGAAATAAATTAAATTTCAAGTGCAAGTTTTCGCCCTCAGGCAAATGTTTGGCTTTAAAGTGATCGATTGCTCTGCCTCTCTGTTTTCTTTTTCCCATCCAGGTCAATGTGTTTGGATTCGGGGCCGACCAGTACGGAAATTGGCATCACTACTGGGATTTTAATGCCGGAATTCCAAACTCAATTCATGATAGAGATTATGAATATAATGTAACCTTGCTGCTGGCAGAAAAACACAAGATCAAACTGTATAAGGGCAGATTATAGCAAGCCTGTACGTGCAGTGACTCTTCGAGCCGTTAGATTATTCTCTCCTCTGGGGGAAGAACGTTTTCATTATGGCCACAGACGTTTTCTCATCGATTCCTCTTGTCTTTTCAGCTCTCTGTTGCTGCCCGAAGCTAGCGTTTGAGAAATGTCACACCAATTGACAGAGCCACACTTTCTTTTTCTTCTCAGAAACAGGCTCTGACACGGCATCAAGTGAGGACAAAAGCAACTCTGCCGTTTTTGTGTTGGCGCATTTTTCAGATTAGCTACAGTTGGGGTTTTTTTTTTACAATCCCTGAGAAGAAATTGTTCTTCAATTACCCCCTCCTCTGTCAAATTTGCAGCCGTATTCATATACATAACCAAATATTATTTGCCCCTCCTTGCACAATAGTGGCAGTGGACCTCCGGGCATGCTTAGGGCAGCTACGTTTTCGAACTCTGTGTTGCTATTTTTACAAGCTGTTTCAAGTGTGCAGGATTTGAATGATATGTGAGTAGTTTAACAGAGGGCGTTACCGAGCTCAGTCTCACTGACGGTGCACTGCTCATACACTGTATACAGTTCTGGAAGTTTGCTGCTGTTTGCGAACTTTAAGTTTGGTGTTCAGCTCAAAGCAAAGTAAAATAAAACGTGCCAGTGCCCATCAGAGTCATGCTCAGTTGTGTTCTTCTTCTAAACATTTCAAATATTTATTTTTTCTTTACATTGCAACAAGTCTCTGGCAGATGTTGAAGGATCTCAGACGTCTCCGGAAAAAGAAGGCAACGCTGCTCCTGCGTGCAGGGGGCGCCACTGTTCTTATCCGGATCATTTTTCATTGTCGTTGTAGAAACAGACGTGCTCGCTAGTCTTCACGAGAATGCTTCATGACACGAGAGAATTATTCAATAACATCAAAGAACATTTCAATCTTAATGTGAATGTGCAGTGAAGAGTATCAAGAGACACTGACTGTCAAAATGTATTATTTATATGTATATAAAAAAAAACTCTTAGTCTTTGTGTTGTGTTTCATTTATCATCCTGGTAGCTAAAACAGTCGACACAGCTGTGATCAGACACATGTCACAATAATCAGCAGGATATTGAGCAAAAAAAAAACCAAAAAAAAAAAAACAACAACTCAGAAACATAACTTTGTTTGGTATATATCAAAGTGAAGAACCAAATACTGACAAAGACAAAAAATTAAGCTGTAGAGCCATACTCGCCAGTGAATTTTCCTTAAAGGATTGTTAAGCATTAGTACATTTTTCAACTGGGTCAAAGGTCAGTTAAGATCAAGCAGGAAAATTGAAACCCAGGACGTTCTGCATGTGCTAACCGCTACACTATGTTTAAAAAATATTACATATTGCAAAACATACAGATGTCAGCAGTACGGTCTAATATTGGCCGTGTTTTTAACTCACATAAACCTTGTTCTGTTCTAACCTTGGAACCTGATGTGATTTTGCTGTTGAGATGTGGTTCACTCAGAGATGGCTCTCTGCTCACAGCAGTTGTGATTCCAGCTACTGCTGCAGTACTGTCTGCTGCAACCCATCTGGCCACTCTCCTCTGACCTCTCATCAGTCGTTCACAGAACACTGGGTGATGTCTTGTTGTTTTGTTTTGTGGTTGTTTTTTTGTTGGTTTTTTTTTTGTATTTTGTTTCTGGCTAAAAGCTCCAGTGTCGTTGTACGTGAACCCAGGCAAATTGCTGTTTTAACAACACTAACAGCAGCATCTCTGGCACCGTTTTCAGTACACGGTCAATGTCGTGCTGAATGGCTGACCTCTGACTGCATGATTATGGTTCGTATCGCTGCCATATGCTTCAGCTATTTGGATAGTGTGAATGGGATAAGCATGATAAGATTCCAAATGGTGGCGTGTTTACAACAAGAAGAGCAAAAGCTACAAGTTAGTATGGCTGCTTGTTTGTTTGTTTGGTTTTTTTGTTTTGTTTTTTTTTTAACTGTGGCCTAAAACTTTTTATTTGTGAAGCTTCAGGACTTCACACAAGATTCAGAAAATATTTTTAGACTGGTTCCTGGGGTATTTTTATAGCCTAAAACCCACACTCTTCTTCTCATTACAGAATACATATGCAGTTGTAGTCTTTATAATAAATATTTGATTTTTGGATTATTTATATATTTGATTTAAAATAAAACAAATCACTTTCACAGTTACAAACTTGTCAGCGAGCTTGTTTTTCGGAGAACACTGCTACCTAGTGGACAGGAAGGTATTAGCCTTGATAAAATAATGTTTAACACAGACTTTTATTTTGTTACTTTTATTTTTTTTTCATTAAAACTGTGTTGAACTCTTTTATAATTATCACACAGCCATTAAAGCTGCATTTTAAAAACACATTTTATTACTTACATTTTCTGTTGTATTGAAATTACATGCTGCCGTGTGCAGAAGACACTGATTCCCAAAACCTTGCATTATTCAGCATTTCATTAATGCAAAACAAAAAAGTACAATTCTCAGCTTTTTGGCTCGATTTTTAGAGAACAGTGAGCAGCTGTACAAATGATAAATAATACATTTTGCAATTATAATCCACATTGTGGGAGGAGAGAGGAGAGGAATGAGGATGATTTTGTCCTTGTATACCAAACGTGGTCAGAAAAGCTGACTCAATATTTTGCATAGGGGATTTGCGAAGAAACAAAGATTTTTTTTTAATTCTGTAAGTTATTCTCTAAATGATGAGTGAATTCAGCTTCAGCTAAGTTACATCCTTATTTCATTTAAAATATTTCAGTATAGCAAGCATGAATATAAACATTTACATGGAAAATTAATGATAAACATAACGTTATTCTCACAGATTACCGAGATTTTTCTCGTGACGTTACTTCGTTAGTGGCGTGCACTACAAGGACCACAATGCATTGCAATCGGGCGTGTTGACGACATTAGTCCTGTGTCTCAACGAGGAAGTCCCATCTTTACCTGTTTGTGAGCAAATGTTTTCCTCTTAGCACAGGTAAGAAGAGTTCTTTTAAAGTTCTTGTGTCTTCAGTGAAGCCTCCTCTGTTACCTTAGTGCAAATTGTATGCGATCAATTACAACTCCGCTGTACAAAAAACAGTAGTTTCACTTTCAAGACAACGAACATGCAAAACAGAACATGAACTTGTCCGTGTCTACAGTAAAGGACCGAATAAAGGCTGCAGTTTCCTGACAGAAAAATCAGATTTAGAACGATTATGAAGCAAAATCATGCTGCAGAGATGATGTCAGTATCTCAACAAGTGAGCTTTTTCAAGATAAACACCTTTGTTTCCTGTCTGTAGACTGCAGGAAGTTAGTACTAGCGCTAGTTTATGTATTGCTATTATTATAATTATGTTACAATAGGACGACTAGGCCTGTGATAATGCTTTGTATACTGTATATACATAGATATAGATATACAGTATGTAAACACAACATGGTTCTGAATAAAAAGAGACTGTTTTAGTATCTACAAATGACAAATGAAACCATAGTTGTATCATCTGTACAAGTGGAAGTAAAAAAATGTTTGCAACAAAAAGTGTGTTACCAACATTTTGAATGTCATTTACAAAACAAATTTTATATTAAATTAAATATTTCATTTTTTTAAACAGGATCTCAAACGTTAAATTTAACCATTATCAGCCCTGCTTTGTGTTTAATAATATATATATATTATTTGTCTAATAAGAAATATTTTATTGTTATTTTTTTATTATTTTTTATTATAAATATAAAAAATATATTGTATTATAATTATATATTTTATATTATTATATTAAAAAAACTCAGTGAAGATCAAAGTCAGATTATAACTATTTGAATTTGGTTGTACGTGTGTTTTTCTGTACTGATAAGGATGCAAACTGAAGGCCTGGAGGAGAGGACGGTGGAGGTGCTGCAGCTGCCTGATGGAGTGGACGAAGAGCTGCTGTGTCTGTACTTTGAGAATAAGCGACGGTCTGGAGGCGGCCCCCTCGAATCTGTCGACAGAAAGGGCGACAGTGTCATACTGGTGTTCGAAGATGCACAAGGCAAGTAGATGAAACACAATCGTTTTTATATCCCTCCTATATTTGCATCAAATTCATTCAATTACAAGCAACAAAAGAGTGCAAATGAACTGTGTGCAGAACGGGCACTAACTACAATGATCTAACAATGCACCGTTCTGCACTAACTACAATGATCTAACAATGCAACTCACAGTGTCACTGTCCAAAACAAAAGCACTACTTGCCAGTAGTATTCAACAGTATATTTACAATTTAAAAACTTGGTTGATATTAAACCTTGTTTACTTGTTCAGACATATGTATATCTATATTTTCCTTGGGGTTTGTTCTGTTTTAGTCATGATTTAAAGTCTTTGATGAAGCCAATACCATTTGTTCTGCTTCTGTTCGACAGCCGCATCCCAGGTACTTTCCAAAGAATCCCATGTGTTACATAACACTAAGCTGAGTGTGAGAAGGCCTGCCTCAAAAGACAGATACAGTTTGTTGCTCCGAGGTCTCAACCCGGACACCGTGACGGAGATGATAGAGCTGTACGTGGAGAACATGATCGGGCTGAATGACAGCGACTACACGCTGCATCCTTCACCAGAGAGAGAGATGATCCTCATTAAACTCAAACAGCCCTTGTCAAAAGGTCGACATATAATTCACGTCATTTTTCTAAATTTGTTTTTTCTTGTAGTTAAATACACATCTTTGGTTTAACAGATTTTCAAAGCCTCCGTAAGAAGATTGACAAGAGAACACTGGACGGAGCTCAAATAACACTTGAACAAGTAGATCAAACTGACTCAATTTTGGTGGAGAACCTGCCTCCTGGTACCACCGCAGACACGCTCACACTTTACTTTGATAACCTGCAGAAGGTGCGGGAGGTCACCATGCTGTCACAGGAAACAGCAAAGGTGTCATTTGTCAGCCACGAATGTAAGTTTTCCAACCTGTAACTCTATCAAATCATGTCATTGTCATAACCTTCATGACAAATTTGATTTTCTTTTTTTTTTCTAACAGCTTTAGGCTCTGTTCTGGACAGTCAACACAAGCTTGAAAGTACAGACCTAATTTTGAAACCATTCTTTGACTTTCTCCAACCGAAGGAAAGCAAAACGTTGCACAAAACTGAGAATGGAAGGGAAGATATGACAGAAGCAAATCCAGACGATCTCGGCCATAATCAGACGCCAAGCAGTTCTCCTGTTGCCAGTGTTGTTTCTGAAAGTCCGTCCTCCTCACAGATACCTACAGAGCCCCCTGCTACCACTGGGGTAGCGGAGGCGTCGGCAGAAAGTGTTGTGGAGGACCAAGCAGAGGAGGTGGTTCTGTTATCAACTCGTTTATCATTTGTTGACCCAGTTAAATTGTCTGTCTTAAAACTTAGCCCACTCTTAGAAAACATCGTAAAAGCTGAGCCAATGGTCACTGTTGAAACAGAAGACGACGGCGTCTTCATCCAAGGAAGGGACAAACTCACTCTGGAGCGGATTAAACAAACCATTCTGGAATATCTTGGGAACATGGCTGAAGTGCGTTTCACCTCGGACCCAGAGGAAGCCCAGTTCCTTGGGAGGGAGGATGTTAAAGAAAGACTACTGCAAACCCTGGGTAAAAGCAAGTCAACCTCAGTTTATACTGTGTCGAAGTCTGCCATCGTGGTTACGTCAGTCAACCGCAACTCTGCCGAACAGGCGTGTGACTACTTAAAATCCCAAATCTGCCGCTTTAACATACCATTTGACACGGAGTACGAATGCACGGTGTACTGCAGAGAGTGGTCCGAGTTTCTGCAGTCTCTGACTTTCTCCTCTGTCAAAGTGTGCGAGCAAGATAGGAAAATTGACGTGTTAACCCTTAAAGACATGGAGAGTGAGAAGCATCTTGCAATCATGCAGTTTCTGTCCACACCCGTTCAGAGGGAGATTGTGATCACCATGGAGCCAGGTGTTCTAAAATACATCCAGACACATTGCCATCAGCTGCTGGCCGACATGGACCAAGTGTCCATTTTTCCCCTTGAGTCCGAGGACGCCTCTGGATTTAAGGTATGTGGTAAAACTACAAATACCTATTTGACGTAATGCTACTCTGCCCAGTGTGGGATCAATAAAGTTCAACCTTAAACTTAACAAATCTTTCAGTACATTAACTCTGGACTTAACTAACACCCATTTGTGTCTGTCCTTCGTAGATCTGTGGCCCTGCTGTTGCTTGCCAAATGGCTGAGGAGGTGCTGCAAAGCATAATCCCTACTATTCTCATCCAGCCAATCAAATTCACTGCACCGGGACTAACCAGGTTTTTGGATGAAGACGAGTGTAAGACCATCCTGGATGAGATGGAGACCAAGTTTCAGGTGTACATCAGACCCGAGCACACGCCGTGGCAGGACCTGTCTTACCAGGTAATACAACGGTAAATGGAAAGACGATAAGGGATCGAACACTTTTACATCTGTCACTGAAAACATTGGTGAGATGGTCAGCTCATGTGAAGAATTCTGACCTCTTGAACTGAAGGATGTTTTTTTTTTTTTTGGATGCAAAATGTAATTAGCATATTCATCTGCTTAAATAACATTTAGCACCCTGTTTCTGCAGGATTATTTCGAATGTGCCTGGAGAATGATGGGCCAAAAAAACTTTCCGAGAGTGCCATTAAATGATTCTCCACAGGAGTTGCTATCAGATTCTATACAGACTGATCACAGCAGAGTTCCAGACAAAGGTAACTTGGATTTTATTATAATATAATTAATAGCCATTTTTGCTGCTTTGATTAATCTTTTCTCTACGTCTTAGATTCTTTAAAGGAGGCTCAAAACCCCGTGTCAGCAGTTAGTGAGAAACCTGCAGACGCTGCCTCCAGTTCAGACCAACCAGATGTCACGGTTGACATAGAAGAGCAGCTAAACAGT